TAAATTTTGTCCTCTATCTCTCTGTAAAACTGTCTGATAAACTTCCTAGTGTGTTATAACTTGCTGTAAAATAACAACAAAAAAAAAATCAGAGAGTACTGGCTGTCCCATGACTTTTAGAATGGTTAGAGAAGCTTTTAACTGCAAGCTGCTGTTCAAAATCCGATGTGGTGCATTGCAACCACACTGTAATTGGACTGTAAGAGTTCTTAGATTCGTTTTTGGTCTCCTTTSAGTCCCCAGTGGGTAAAATCCTTGGCTACTGCTCCAGCTGGTGTCAAAGGGTAGCCTGGGGGCTCTCTGGCATCCACTGGGGTTTCTTTTGTAGGATTTTCCACCCTGCCCCCTCCCCCAGCAAACCAACAGGATGTTTCTGGAAATAAGGAGAGCTCGGACATCGCTTTTCTCTGCTGTCCAGTGCATGGGTGTGTCTGGAAAAGACTATTAATTGGCTGTTCTTCTGCACAGGGCATTCTGAGATGCAGAAATATCCCTTTATAGGCCTCTCTCTGCTTGCTTCTGTGGCTCAGAGAGGCCTTGGGGCTTCTTTGACCCAGTTCCCTGTAAAGATTAATGGGATTACYGCTCTCAGGCTCAAAGAGTGTCTTTGTTTATAGCTCTCCCTGGCATTGTGGTGAGATCTGGCTTTGGTAGGCTTGGCCTGGAGAAAGGGACARCCCAGAGCATCCCATGTCAGTGTGGTGCCTTTCAGGTGGAAACACACATTTCATAATTCTTTAAATTGTCTGGAAGTGCAGGATGGCTACAGCATTGAAGTCCTTCCTAATCCCCAGTTAATTCAGAATTTGGGTTGTTTCCTGCAAGGCAAAAGTTCCTCAGGGTTGGTTAACACCCAGGTCAACAATGAGCAATCAATTGTTCAAGTAATGTGTCCATTAATAAAGGATTCTTAAACATTTGATATAAGTTAATTCAGAGTTTGGGTTGTTTCCTACAAGACAAAAGCTCCTCATGGTTGGTTAACACACAGGTCAACAATGAGCAATCAATTGTTCAAGTAATGTGTCCATTTATGAATTAATAAAGGATTCTCAAGCATTTGATATAAATTAAAATATATTCATCAATTGCTGATGATAATGAGAAAGCCTGACTTCYTAACTGGTTGTGCTGGCTCCAGGAATACTGCTTGGTTAACGTGTGATGAGATCATCAACATTTTTTATGAAAACAGTTGATATTTCCATGAAGAAATAATGATAGAGAACCGTAAACAGTAGAAGCCAAAGCTTCCCTTGGTTTGTCTGGGTGAAACTGTGACATGGACACAGAGTATTCAGCATTTTCTTACACAAAACTCCTTATTTTGCAGGTGAACTAATATTTCTAAAGGATCATGATAATGTTAACAGCTTATATCTATTTATCCTTTTTTTCCTTTTGTTTCCATTTTTAATGGCGTCTTGAACGTAACTTGTGATCTTACAAAAATGGGCATCCCTTATAAATAATACCTGACTATTGTTATTCTCTTAGATTGACCTAAAAATATAGTGTGGTAATGGTACCAGACTTTAAAAAAGTAAACATTTATCTAATTTTTTTTTGCAAATAATAATCTTTATGCCTTGAAATACAGAGAAACCAAAGGTGCAAATGTTTGAGAAGTGAAGTTGTGTCACTGGTTAATGGAGGAGTATGTTTTTCTGGGCTAGCAGTTCTAGAAATTCCGGATAAGCACTATGGTATGGTGTTCTTGCTGAGGCAAAGTATGAAGCTTTAATTCTACTCTATTGACATTCACAGAATTGCAAATTTATAAATTTTTGTTTCCTTTTAGTATCAAACAGGAATACAGATGATCTCTAGGRTACCAACATGGTTTTATTGCCAAGYAGAATTATGWTGTCATTAAYATTTTGATATTCTGTTTATGATGGTCCTGACTGCATTGTACCCTTGGCTACATTTTCCCCTTCACTTTGACACATTTCACTATAACCTGTTACAGAACAGTCAAAAGTGAACAAAAAAATAAGAGTTTGGAGATTGGCATTGATTTTTAGTGTTTAACTATTGCTCTTGGTGGGAGGAAAGTCAATTATATAAAACATAAAGAATTTCAGTGTTGTCAAGCTGGTCTGATAGAGAATAAACCTTTCTTATTCTGCCATATTGACATTTAAACTGGCAAAATGAAACAATCCAGGTTGCTCTGTGTCACTCAGGTACCTCACCATCACAATAGGATAGTTCTGTTTAAAATGTGATGCCTCCTGGCTGCAGTAAGACTTTTTCTTTCCCTCTTCAGTATGTCCTTGGAGTGCTGCTTCATGAAGCCACAAGGTGCAGTGAATTTTTTTTTTCTCRTGAAACAGATTTGTCACGTGAGTTCAAGGCTGGCCCGTGTTCGTTCTCTCAGCAGCATAAATCTGGTATAATTAGAAAGTYAAGAGTGCCACGTCAATTCAGGCTGCTGATTGTGTAGGCTCCAAACACGAATTTAATTGGACTAAAACAGTTGCAATCAGAAAGCAGCACATTGCCCTCAGCTCCTCAGTTTGATGAGGGGCAGGTTGGGACTGATATGTGAGGGTCAACAGCCTTAATAACATCTTCCTGTGGGCAAAAAAAAATAAAATAAAAAAAAATAAAAGAGAGGTATCTCTCTGGCACTGCAGTGGAGTTGGTGTCTGGCAGTTTGTGTGTGTATAATAAAATATCCTCATCTCTCCGTGTAGCAGCTGCACTGCATGAGAAGTAGTTGGCTGAATTCACTTTTAACAGTGTTTTGGTTTCACTGTGAAACGCTCCCACACACGGTTTTACGGGAATGTCTGTCTTCCAGTTAGGCAGAGTAGTAACTAAAGAATTCCCTTCTCCCRTCACCCCTGCCCAGTGGGGGAGGACAGCTTATATACAGCAGGATCTTTTTTATGTCGATCCGTAGGTGGAAGTGCCCTGCAGCCAGACGCTGGTTCTGTGAGGAAACTTGAGCAATAAAAATATTTTATGCTTTTACCCACCCCATCATTCAGCAAAGATATTTCTGCAGGTGTGAAGTGGCTCCTCCAGCAAAGCTTCCTTCAGAGGCAGAGTAATGGGAGAGATGTTTGGCACTGGGGAAAGAAGGTCAGGTGAATTAGGCTGTCTTTTCAGATTTGATGTGATTTCTTTGCTGCTTTGTGCCAAACCATGACCCTGCTGTTGCTCTGAGATAAGAGCATAATTGCACTTTATAAACACTGGAGTTGTAGCAATGAGAATTTACTTGGGTAGCAGGACCTACAGATTTGGGTTCTCCCACTTAGGAAATGAAGGCAAAAGGGAGGGAATGCTTTGGAGACATCCAAAATCTTATCTGAGATGTTGGTGAAGTATTAAACAGTTATTTCTTAAACAGCACACAGTTATTTCTTGAACAGTTGTTTGTTATGGTCAGTTGGGATGAAATTCTGCAGAACAGAGTCCCTGTGCTTATGAATGGGATTACACAGTGGTGGTTTGGGTGGTTCATGGGCTTACCAGTGAGCCAGGGTTTAGGACTGGGTTATGTCAGCTGGATCTACCTCTGTCAAAGGAGAAGAATGTCAAGGCATTACTCTGTCTGCCTTGGAATTAAAGCACACAGAAATTTACCTTTGAAGGAAGGTAGCTGCCAAGGTGGCTTAAGCCTGATTGTCACAAACCCACACCCTACACCCACCATTCCAACTGCCCTGCTGTTGTGTTTGTAAAGAATGTAAAAAATGGCAAATAAAGAATAATTTTTCTTCAGTGTACAGTCATAACAACTCCTCAGTTCTCTGCTCTGACTGCAGCACAGCAAAAAACCCCTCTGTGCACATGAGTCAGTGTGCAGAACTCGCTTCGTTATTGACCTCTCACTCCTTGTTTGTTCCTTTTTAATCAGCTCCAGCAGTCACAGTGTTTCACCACCAACATGCAGGCACCTTTCTTAAAGCTCCAAAGCTCCAATGTTTATTTCCAGCCAGGCTTAGACCTGGCAGTTTGCTCAAAAGTTTTTGGGGTGATGAAGAGATGCAGACTATGATSATTTATCTCCTCAAATAACACTCTGAACTGCTGCTTGCAGGAGGCTACAGTTGGCTGGGGAAGGAGAAAAAGAGGATAAATCA